TGAACCGCAACGTGAACGACAACACGTTTCTGGTTTTATTTATGCATGCTTAAAACTGAAAAGATACACTAACTTGGAAGGTTCAGGTTCATCGAGGGTAACTTAACATTTCTCCTCCTTAGCCTTGATGTTCTGAACTCACCTCCAGCATCCCAATTTTCTCTTTCAGAACTTGAAACTGAAACCTTGGGAGTGATTTTGTCAGAATGTCTGCATGTTGCTCCCCTGTTCTCACATGCTCCACCTCTATTTTGCCTTTCTCAACACAATCTCCAACATAGTGGTAGCGCACATCAATATGTTTACTTCTCTCATGGAATACATGGTTTTTACACAGAGCAATGGCAGACTGATTATCAATCATGATCTTGGCCTTAACTTCATCACATCCCAGCAGTTCTTCCACAAGCCTTGCCAGCCATACTCCCTGACATGCAGCTGATGCAGCAGCCACATACTCTGCCTCACAGGATGACTGGGCCACTATTTTCTGCTTCTGTGATATCCAAGATACAGGGCACTGTCCATAATAGAACAACACCCCAGTTGTACTTTTTCTGTCATCCACATCCCGTGCATGGTCACTGTCACTATATCCCAATAACTGTGGATGGTTTCCTGCTTTCTTGTAACAACATCCAAGATGTATACTGCCTTTCATATACCTTAAAATGTGCCTAACTGCTGTCATATGTTCCTTGGTAGGTCTCTCCATAAACCTACTGACATAGCCCACAACAAAACTGAGATCAGGCCTTGTATGCAACAAGTATCTTAGGCTCCCTACCACACTCCTGTACTCTGTTGAATCTACCTCATCAGCTTGACTTGACTTACTGAGTTTCAGCCTGTTTTCCATAGGTGTGTATGTAGGATTGCAATTTGTCATGCCCATTTTCTCAAGTATCCTTGCTGCATAACTAGACTGACAAAGTGTGATACCTTCCTCTGTTTGTTTCACTTCTATTCCCAAATAATAACTCAGCAAACCCAAATCTGTCATACTGAATTTCAAATTCATTTGCCCTTTGAACTCCTGGATAGCTAGCTCACTCCCTCCTGTGATCACTAGATCATCCACATACACACCTACAATCAGTGCAGATCCTCTTGCTTTCTTTATGTACAGACCAGATTCTGATGGACACCTATCAAAACCCAGCTCAGTGAGTGTTGCATCTAGCTTGGAGTTCCAAGCTCTTGGGGCCTACTTAAGCCCATATAAGGCCTTGTGCAGTTGATACACCTTGCTTTCCTTCCCTTCTATCTCATAGCCAGGGGGCTGAGTCACATAGACTTCCTCTGCTAGATCACCATTCAGAAAAGCTGAGTTGACATCCATCTGATGTATCTTCCACCCAAACTGCACAGCAAGAGAAATCAGCAGCCTGACAGATTCTAGACGAGCTACAGGAGCAAAAACCTCTTCAAAATCAATGCCCGGTCGCTGAGCATATCCTTTTGCCACAAGCCTGGCTTTGTGCTTAACAACCTTGCCTTCAGGGTTCTTCTTCAACTTATAGACCCACTTAACTCCAACAGGCATGTGTCCCCTTGGAAGATCACATAACTCCCAAGTTTGATTTTCCCTTATGGCTGTCAGCTCCTCCTTCATCGCATTTTTCCAGCAAGCTTCTTTCAGTGCCTCAATATGACTTGACGGCTCTTCTAGCCCAAAGAGACATAGTCCAGCATCTGCTAGCTTAATCTCTACAGTTTCCTCATAGAGCTCATCAAGCAGGCGCTTACCTTGAGGTCCAAAGGAGGGCTCAGTGCATGGAGTGGCAACTGACATAGGGGTATGTGTAGGTGTCGCAGGTGAGCGCATAAGATCAAACGGGATTGCCACCCCATCATTCGCCTTCCTAGTTCTGCTAGCCTGTCGAGGAGCTGCTATGGCAGCAGATTCGACTGCCCAATTCTTTGTCATGGCAGTGTGCTTCACAGGTGCAGCTGAGGACGACTCGGGCGATTTTGTTGCCATGTCAGCAGTTTTTGCTGCCTGTTTTTCTGCAAAGGGAGCGTTCTTATCTGCACCTCCTCCTCCTTCAGGCTCTTCTCCATCTGGGTACACGACGATGAATGGTGCCTTGTCCTCATCTTCAAGTGAGCTCGAGGTGTCCCAGTTCCATGGCCTATCCTCCTCAAATACGACATCTCGTGCAATCACCAGTTGCTTACTCTCTGGATCATACATTCTGTAGGCCTTGGAGCCGGTTTCATATCCGATAAAGACCATCTGTTTGCTCCTATCTGAGAGCTTAGATTGGCCTGGCCCTACCTGCTTTACATGAGTAGTGCACCCAAACGTGCGAAGGTGTAGCACTGATGGTTTTTTCCATGCCATGCCTCATAGGGTGTCATGCCCTTTACACTCTTCGTAGGGGCTCGGTTCAGCAGGTACACTGCAGTGGTCACTGCTTCACCCCAGAATCTTGCCGGCATTCCCATGCTTTTGAGCAAGCTCCTCACCATTCCCACAACTGTTTGGTTTCTCCTCACAACCACACCGTTGTGCTGAGGTGTGTATGGCGCTGTCTGAAAATGTTTGATGCCAAGGCGCTCGCAGTACTGTAGGAACTCTGCTGAATTGAATTCGCTACCTTTGTCAGTGCGAAGGGCTTTCAGCTTTAGATTTTTTTGAGCTCTGCTGCTGCTTGTACTTTCTTTACAGCTGCCAGGGCTTCATCCTTGCATTTCAGTAGCACAATCCACATAAACCGTGAGTGATCATCGACCAACAGCAAGAAGTACCTCTTTCCACCCGGTGTCGGTGGTGTGATAGGCCCACAAAGATCGCCGTGCCACAGGTCCAGTGGCTGGGCTGCTCTGTATGTTGCCACTCCTAGGAACGGGAGACGCCGTTGTTTGGCTATCATGCAGCCATCGCACACCTGGTGAACTTGCTCAATTTTGGGCAGTCCCTCGGCCATTTCCTCTGCTGCCAGTGACCGCAGCGCTCTGAAGTTTAAGTGCCCAAAACGCATGTGCCACAACCAAGCATCCTCCTTTGCATGAGCCAGCAGGCACACTGGTTCTGCCGGCTGTATGTGCAGGATGTACATCCTGTTCCCACTCCTGGGCACACAGGCCAACAATTTCTTCTGCATGTCCCACACCATGAGGATTCCATTCTCTCCGGTGTACTTGCACCCATTCTCATCGAGCTGTCCAAGACTAATGATATTGTTCTTCAGCTGCGGTATGAAGTAGACGTCAGACAAGACTCTATGCTCTCCGGTGAGACACTGCATCAGCACTGAACCGCGCCCACAGATTTGCACAGATGAGCCATCTCCAAACCGCACTTTCCCTTTAATAGACCTATCCAACTCGGCAAACTTCTCTACATTTCCTGTCATGTGGTTGCTCGCCCCTGTATCCAGGTACCAAGCAATGTCACGGTCACCTGACAACTTTGGGACAACCTTCTCTTCATTAAGCAGCACCTGTTCTGTCGGTACCGACTCCGAGATTGTCAGCTCACATGTTTCCATCATCAGCAGACCTGGGTCCTCTTCCTCTTCTGCCTGAACAAAGTTTGCATTTTCCTTCTTTGGCTCTGGGCAGTCAGATTTGAAATGGCCCATTTCATTGCAATTGAAGCACCTTACCTTGGTTATGTCAAATTTTCTATGTTTCTTTTGCTTGCCGCAGTCGTTGCTCTCGCCGCGTCCAGCCTGCCCACCGTCGGCGCGGTCACCACGCCCACGGCCACGCCCGCGGCCGCCGCCACGTCCGCCACCACTGCTGCATGCACCTGGCGCGCTTTTCTTACCCTTCATCAACTGTTCCAGAGCCTGAGTCATGAGCATGAGCTGATCGTCCCTGCTGCCAGACTGACGACACCGACCTCTCTGATTTTCCTCGAAGGCAGCCAGACGTCCGACAGCCTCAGCCACGGACATCGTCGAGAGATCGCCCCACTGCTCGATGGTGTTGATGATGTCGCCGAACCACGCAGGAACGACATTGAACAGGGTTTCGACCACCGTCTCATCGGTGATCTTCTCGCAGAGGGACCGGATCTCCCCGACAAGAGTCATCATCTTCTGGGCAAACGCCGATATGGACTCGCCTTCGCCCATTTCCATCCGATCCAACTGCCTCTTGAGCTGCTTGATCCGCGCCTTCTTGACGCGATCCTCGCCGACGCGCATGCGCCGGATCGCTTCCCAGGCTTCGTGGGCCGTCTGACAGTCGCCCACAGCCATCATCACCAGGTCGGGTACAGACTGTGACAGAGCAGCGAACGCCTCATCGTCCTTGACCTGATCGAATTCGGCCGTGCCCTCCAACGCCGGCCACACACCAAACGGATGGAGGAGCACCTTCATCTTCATCGCCCACAGACCATAGTTAGAGTCCGTGAGCATGGGGTACTGGATCGGGACACCACCAGACCTCGCCGGCGTGCGCTGCACGATCGCCGTGCCTTCGTCGCCGATTCTCTTCGGGGGCGGCGTGTACTTTTCACCGCCTCCACTGGTGTCGTCCTTCTTCGGCGAAGTACTCATCGCCGATCACCGCCGCCACAACTCCAATCTTCGCCGCCGTGCTCCGCCTCCGTGGAACCTGGCTCTGGTGCCAAATGTTGGGACTGAACCCAGGATCACACACGCACGCGAGGTGGAAGAACGCAACAGAACAGATCTCTGAAACACAGCTGAGACAGAGGAGTTTTTGCGACGTGCTAACCTTGCGTCTTTTCAGTTTTTCCTTTTATTCAGATAGCAACAGTATGCCCGAGAGTCTCGCCCACGATCCATTCCTTTCGTGCCATCCCACGGATGCAAACGTGGCCAAGTCCTCGCGCACTTACAGGAAGTAGCTTAACTGAAACAAAAAACCTATCCTATGACCTTGACTGAACCGCAACATGAACGACAGCACATTTCTGGTTTTATTTATGTATGCTTAAAACTGAAAAGATACACTAACTTGGAAGGTTCAGGTGTCAACCACTAGCTCCGCCAGCACAAGCGAGGCGCGGGGGCGCGATGGGCAACTGCCAGGCGGCCGAGGCGGCGGAGGTCATCATCCAGCACCCCGGCGGCAAGGTGGAGCGCCTCTACTGGCCCACCCCGGCCGCCGAGGTCATGAAGACCAACCCCGGCCACTACGTCGCGCTCGTCATCCTCCGCCTCTCCCCCGAAGACAAGGCGGCAGCGGGGGACGAGGCCGCGGCGGCGGCCGCCGTCGCAGGCGCGGGCGCCGCCGCCAAGATCACCCGGGTCAAGCTCCTGAAGCCCAAGGACGTGCTCCACCTCGGCCAGGTCTACCGCCTCATCACCGCGCAAGGTTCGTCTACAGTCCTCCACTCCTCCCTGCGTTCATCGACGCTCTTCTTCCTCGTCGTCCATGGCACGGAGCTCGTTCCCGCCATCCCGTGCCTGGATTCCGCCGTTCGTTGCATCAATCTAGTTCTAATCGATGCTTGTTGGTGTTGCGCTGCGCAGAGGTGACCAAGGCGCTGCGGGCGAGGAAGAACGACAAGATGCGGCGGTGCGAGGCCATCAAGCAGCAGCACGACCAGCTCCGGCGCGGCGACGGGGCGGAGCAGGGCGCCTCTGACAAGGTCAGCGCCTCTCCATTCTCCTGATGATAATCTCCTCTTCCTATCTGAAACCGCACGAAGCAGTATACTGATTCCTATACGCGCTCCTGCCTCCTCAGGACGCGAACGCGAACGCGAAGCAGCGGGGCGAGAAGGACCGGCACCGGGGCTCCGGCGGCGCGCAGCCGGCCGGTGGCGGCAGAGGCCGGCACTGGCGGCCGTCCCTGCAGAGCATCTCCGAAGCCGCGGCCGGGCAGAGCAGCAGCGCCAGCAGCAGCATCTCCGAATCCACTGCGAGCTAATCGCCGGATTAACAACCCTCAGTGCGAGAATTATAAGTCCGTCTACTATCCAGACACCGATACACTGCAGGCAACACTTGGTTCATCACCCTCCAAGGTGTGGCGTGCTTTGATTGAAGGCAGAGACATACTTAAATTGGGTCTTATTCGAAGAATAGGTAATGGGCAGTCGACTAATGTATGGCAGGATAACTGGATACCAAGATCAGAGCGTTTATCTCCGGTGGTGGCCATTTCAGATGTGCCACCCCAGTTAGTACTATATCTGAATTGATCAATGCAACAGCAGGTTGGTGGGACAGGGCTGAGCTTAGCAGGCATTTCTTGCCCATGGACGTCGAGGCTATTTCAAGGATTCCCATCAGCACGGTCCAGCAGGAGGATTTTTGGGCATGGCACACAAGCGTCTTCTCGGTAAGACCTTGTTATCGCATGCTGATCACAACTAAGAAAGTACGGGAAGACTGGTTGGAGGGTAGACCAAGTTCAAGCTCAACCCAGTCAGGAGAAGGCCTAGACAACGCTATGAAAGATTAAAGTCCCATCCAAAGTCTGGGTTTTTGTTGGCGCTTGGCTCAGCGATCTATACCTTCTGGTGCCGAGCTACAGCACACCGAGACGTGAGCTATGCAGGGCCGAAAATGATACATGGCGCCATTCCCTCCTTGATTGCACCATGGGAGGTGCGTATGGGCGCTCGTTGACGAATCACTTAGAGAAAATATGATCTTGTCGAATAGTCCGGATGCCAAGGAGTGGCTGTTCCACTTCCACATGCTAGAATATGTGCCACATGCAGACTTTACAAAGTAGATTATCACATTGTAGGCGATCTGGGTGATGGAATTTCGCCCACATGATCGATCCTGAGGGAGGAGTTCCAACAATTGGTATAAGAGCTAGGTCGATTTGAAGCCGCGCTTGCCCCGGGGTGGCGACCTGACTAGCACCTCGGGGCGGACAATGTTGTTGTTGGGTGCTCCAGCGACGAGGAGGATCGGGAAAATGTCGTTCGGCGGAGCGACATGGAAGCAGACGGCGGGATGTCATCGGCAAGGTGGTGGAAGGTGATCGTTGATGGATGCAGTGGTGCCGAGGTGCGGTGCTGGAGCTCATCAAGATCGTCGTCTGAGGGAGTAGATGGGTCAAGAAGTCGTGCTAACTCGCACGTGTCGGTCGCTGTCGTCTGTGAGTCGTCGTCATGTCCAAGTGCTCGTCTCGATGAGGAGGCGTTGAAGATGAAGTGCCCCGACGAGAGGATCAAGTTCAACCATGTGGGGGCGGTAAACCAGTGAAGGTGAGTCTCTTCCATGAGGCCATGTCTCTACATGAGGCTGGAGTGCGTGGTGTAGTGCACGGAGTGGTGTGATCCACAGGGAGTCGCCATGTATCTTGCTAGGGTGGATGGTGAAATCCACCGGGTGGGGTATTCCACAAGTTACTAGCGAGGCTCGGTAGTCCAAGCCATATTTGAGATGATCCGTAAATTCGCCAAGTTAAAATTGGGGAGAGAATGTTGGCAACAATCTAGCCAGCAATTTAAATTGTTGTGGTGCGAGCACATAAGTCGACAAACGGCGGATCATCAGCAAGTCAAGACGAGAGAAGCACAGAAGACAAGAGCCAAGATTACAGAGAGATTGTTAGGTATAATCTTGAGTTAGTAGTATTTCGTGTCTAAGTTGTACTCTGATCATTGTGTCCGTATTAGTTTGACCAGGTAGTCGTTTAGGATTTGTAGAGTCCGGTTACAACTCTTGAGTCATTGTACGAATAGATTTAGCTTAGCTGGGTCGGCTGCATTGGTTGTGTATATATAAGCACATCCAAGCCGTGAGTTTTGTAACACCGTGTAGAGAAAACCAGAAAATAAAAAGAGGAAATTAAGGCTACGAGACGTACCCTCGGCGATCAGTTTTCGTGCGTGTGTGTTCGTCCTGTGATTTGATGTGATCGATCTTGAGGGTGGAATTCCAACACTGGGGTGCTAGAAGGAAAGCAACTCATGAGGCAATCTTCCAAAGCCCGGAAGCTATTCATGGATTCATTATGAGGTATCTAGCTGATTTAGAGATCGTCGAGAATACTACACAGAAGTAGGTGAAGGTAGGCATCGACACATACATGTATAGAAGTGAATTCCACTGATAGGAGGTATGGTCAAGATAAATGTCGATGGTGCCATTGTCAAGAACCACAGCAAGGGCGGGGCGGTGGCCCTGTGCCGGGACAACCAGGGTTTCTACCTTGGCTCGTCAGCGCGCATAATTAACATGTGCGATAACCCGGACACGCCGGAAGCTACGGCATGCCTGGAGGCCTTATCTCTTGTAGCTAGAGTAAATAGCAAAAAACTACCACATTACAGGTTATCGTTCCGAAAAACTACCGCTTTTTTTAATTTTTCAAAAAACTACCACAAAAGTGGCTGGTTGTTCCAAAAATCCCAAGTGGCCGAACGGTTAAGTTTTAACTGGGGTTATGACATGTGGAGCCCACCCGTCAGGGTTTTGTCGGCCACAGTGCTCACGGCGCGCGGGTGGCGGCCGTTAGGGCGCACGAGCCGTCCTGACTAGGTCAAGACGGATCCGGCTCTCACTCTATCTCCCTCGCGCTCACTCACTCTCATTCTCCCCCCTCGCTCTGTTTCCCCTGGTCGAGCTCGCTATCGTCGCCGACCACCTCAGTTCCTCGTCGCCGGCCAGGATGCCTTCTTGGAATGATGGGGATGAGAGCTCCGACGACGACAGCATGGGGGGCAACCTGATGGACATGGAGTACTTTGGAAGCCTCATCCTCCTCCTCTCTGTCATTATCTAGGGTTAGGGTTAGGGTTGAATCAATTTGGGAATGAGTGTTGATGAGCTGTATATTTGTATGGATGGATTCGTTTGGTTTGGTTATCTATTAGTTTCGATCTAGGGTATGGATGGCACTGTGATGTCTGATCTGATCTACCTTGTAAATCTGATCTGACCTTGAGCAAGGCAAAGCTTGACTCAAGTTGAACTAGTTGATGCATTGGTTCTGATCTACCTTTTACTGCATGGAGGACACACCCGACACCATCCCTGAGCCACTTTGGTGTGGTGCTCCCATGGAGGAAGTTGCCAAGCGTACTCTGCACGATATGAAGCCTAGGAAGTGTGTTTCTTTTGAAGGTGCTAACACTGGGAGGAGGTTCTATGGATGCCCTGTTCAGGTGAGTAATTGAGTATCCTAGGTGGATTCAGTTATGCCTAGTTGATTCAGTTAATGTGTAGATTCAGTTATGCTTAGTGGATTCAGTTATGCCTAGTGGTTACTGAATTTGTACATTAACTCTGTTTGAACTGAATTTTGTACTGAATTTATGGTTACATGTCCTTGTGTACCAATCCTCTTTTTGAATTGAAGTTATAACTAAATTTATGCATTTTCTGAAGTATGTGTTCTCTGTTCAAACTACAGGGAGGTGTGAATTGTGGTGTAGTTCAGTGGGTTGATCCTGCCTGGCCTGATGTACTTAAGAACTGCCTCATCAAGTTGTGGGAAATGTTCCATGAGCAAAACCTTGGAAGGATTCAAAACAAGCATGCACATGAGGATGAGGTTGCCAAGTTGAAGAAGGACTATGATCATCTCTGCACTTAGTATCATAAAATGGTTGATGATGTTAGCAAGATGTTTAACTGGCAAGATGGTGTTGGCAAGATTGACTACCAGAAAGCAATGGATGCTGAGAAATATGAGAAGCAAAAGGAAGAGCTAGAGCTGGAGATGAAGATGGAGAAGCTAAGGCTAGCAAAAGAACAGAGGTGTATCCTTCAGGCCCAGGCAGACATAATTCACAACAACAGGAAGGCAATGAAAGAGATAAAGGTGGACGTGGATATTCTTGCACAAGAGAAGACATAGCTTGAGAAACTAGTTGCTGATCTGCTAAATGCTGGCCATGGGAGCAAGGAAAATCTTGAGAAAATCAAGGCCATACTGGAGGCTTGAAGATTTGGACAATGGTGGTTAAGTAAGTAAGGTGGCCTACACATATAATAGGCATTGCAAGATGATGGTAGAAGTATATTTTGTGCAGTCCTATATGAACTGTTTAAGTTATGGTAACTGAAGTGGTGGAGAACCTTTGCTAAGTCTGGCTTATGTTATTGTATTGTTAAGAACCTATCTATCATAAGTAATGCAGTGAAGAACTGTTTTATTTCTTTAGGTTGTTTTCTGAAACTAGCAATGTTGTACTAGTTTATTTTTGGGCCTAAAACCATTATGTACACATTGTGGGCCTAGGTTGGGCTGTTTTATTACTCTTGTGCCTGCCTACCACCAACCATTAGTAGTCTATAAAGCCCACCCCTTGGGTGAAACCGCAGTCAATCCCCCCACCCCACCCTTCTTCACCCCCAACCGCCAAAGAAACCCTAGAATCCCAGGGAGAGATGGATCCTGGAGAGGTCATAGATGGAGAAGAAGAGGTGCCCAGGCAAACCAGGCACAGAGATGCAAGGAGGAGGGTGAGAAGGCAACTTGCTGAGATGATCCTTGCAGCACGCAACCGCAAGGACATAGAGCAGTTCCTGAAGGCATTCCCCCTGGCTCCAACCCTAGTGATGATGATATCATCTACTGGGTAAGGAGGAGGGCAAATTTCCATACTTTTCAGGTCACTAGGCAGAGGTGGACTAGGATTCTGTACCCATGACGCTGCTGTCATGTTTCTGTGTTCCT